ACAAGTACACAGGTCAAGCTGGCAGCATGGGGGCAGAACTTAGCATTAAAAATTGAAGAAGGAAAGACTGACGTGGAGTCCCTACAGAAGGCTTTAAGTGTAGAAGGATTTAGCTTCTACTTGATGTGATATAGAAGATGTGATCAGTAGCAGGATGCAGAGAGGAGTATCATAGCCAAAGCTCTGCCCTTTTGGTTCCTTAACTCAACATTTGGGGAGTACAGAAAAGGAACAGTAATGATGTTTGACACCAAGAGCCCTGGGTAAATGTTATAGCTGTGTCAACAGACAAAAAAGTCTTCCTCTTCAATATGCAAAGATAATCGTCAGAAATTAAATCATATGCAAACCAAACTAAAGCTGACATCTAACTTGTAACCCCAAATGACAGGCAGAGCTGTGCCATCGCTCACAGGGAGTAGAGGCTGAGAGTGTTGGTATTAGCCATTCTGAACTGGAAGTGGTGTTTAATTATGCGATAAATATCACGGAGAAAAGGTGAGATTTGGTTTTGTATAGGAGCCGAACCACTCTCAATCATATTTGAAAAGTCGTGGTGGTCAGGTGAAGTCCCTGCTGGTAGAAAAAAGTCACAGCCATTTTTAAGAGGAGTAGATAGGATGATCCAGGAACTACCAATCTGGTATAGGACTAGGAGCAATGGCTTAAAACTTGAATATAGGAAGTTCCATACAAACATGTGGAAGAGCTTTTTGGTAAAGATGACAGAGCACTGGAGTAGGTTGCCCCAGAGAGGTTGTGGAGTCTCCTTCTACAGAGATATCCCAGACCCATCTGGATGCCTACCTGTGTAACCTATTGTAGGGTACCTGCTTTAGCAGGGGTGTTGGACTTGATGAGTTCTTGAGATGTCTTTCAACCCCTGCAATTTTGTGATTCAGTGGTTCTGTGTGAGGAAAGTGAGCACAAACCCATTTCTCTGTGACACAAAGGTTTTCAAAAAAACCACAAACCAGTGGTCATATGAAGTGCAGCTGGGTGACCACAGAGAACACTGTGCTCCAGCACCCGGGTAAGAAGGGACAATCTGACTGTGATTTGAGCTGCCTGCAAGGGACAGAATACAAGATGAGAAAAATCTTCTGCAGAAATAGAGAAAAATATCTCTAGAAAGCAATAGAAAATATATCCCTATGTTGAAGCTAATGTTCTGTTTGTATTACAGTTACAACCACCATCTCATGCCTCACAAGGCCCTTAGCATCAGCAAAGGAAGAAAAAACTCAGGCCAAATTTCTTGTAACATTTTTTACAAATAAATAGGACTGTTATTATACTATTTAAAACCAGCCAAGCAAATAAGCATCTCAGAATCCAATAGTTCAAATGAATGGGATTCTGTGTTTGTTTATATACACACATGCTTTTACTCAAGCAAAACATGACAAAAGAGACACTTCTGATAACAGTGACAAGTAAGATGAATGTAAAATAGAATAGTCAAAAAACATATTTGATGGATAAGGTTAAGGATAGAAGCCTCAGTAGTGATTCAGCTAATGAGCCTTGTTTTATTCATCTCATGTTAGTGCTGCCAGGAATGTATCAGTCGAACGACACTTTTAGTGACCTTTCAGGCACAGCAAGAATAAAATGCCTGCAGAAAGGGCAGCATTTTGCATGTGTTAAGAAACTACCTCAGAGTCCACGGGGAGCTTTTAATGCAGTCTGGACACTGCAGGCTTTGCAAGGCTAACTGAGAAGCTACTGCCATGAATCAAACTTGCTACAAAGAAATTACTGAAATTCTTTGCATTGAAATTCACTTTCTATTACTTATGTTTACATACCTAGCCATGTTTGTTGTTGCATTGTACATGTACATTGTACATCTCAACAAGGTCTCAATAGTATCTTCTGCCCTGGTTATCAAGAGGGGTCAGGTGCTGGAATGGGCTTCCTAGGGAGTTGGTGCAATCATGAGTGTTACCAAGGGACATGGTTTAGTGGGAAAATATTGGTGGTAGGTGAGTGTTTGGACAGGTGATCTTGGAGATCTTTTCTGACTTTGGTGATTCTGTGGTCATTTGGTTACACACGTGGGAGCTTCTATTATCAGCCTAACACAGATTTATGATCTTGTCTTGTCACCCAACAATCTGGTGTAGTAACACTTTGTGTTTACTTTGTGCAGCAGGACAAAAATGAGTGCACATAGAAATACTTAGCATGCATCTTTCTCTTGTGCCCACACAAACTTGTTTTACTTAGAGAAATCTTTTTTTTTTTTTTTTTTTTTAAACACATTGTTTCATTCTTCCTTTCTGAAAACAACCCTAAAGCACCCTTGAGACCTTTTACCCCATGATTGTAAAACAGAGCATCAATCCCCACAGCCTTCTAATAATGATTTACTGGTTGCGTGAAGGGTCTTGAGAAGATGAAAAAATGCAAAGCAGGACAATTCCATATCAGATAAATTGCATGAATTGACACCAGTGGGATACTCATTCAAACGTACATCTTGTCAAAGGTCAAGAGTGAGAAAAACAAAACAAACAAAACAAAGCTAAACAAAAACAAGCAGACAAAAAAAGGTACAGCAAAGGTTTCCATTCTTTCTGCTGCATTCATTATGTTTGAGGTTTTTTTCATTTCCTCCAACTTAGTATTTCACTAAATAACATTCATAGTAAATTCTTCATTCGCTTCCTATTAATGTAGTGTGCTTCCAAACATACATTCATGTTGTAATACAGTTTTTCTGATTGTTGCAAGCAGTGAATAAGTGGGAAGCAACAAATGGTATTTATCTTGATTTTAGCAAGATTTTGACCCTTTGAGATGTTTGCAAGTAAGCCAGTGAACCACTGTCCAGATAAAGTCAGTTTGCTGCAAAATTGCTTAAAACTGTTTGAAATTTAGTTATCAACCAGCTGGGATGACATTTCAGATGGGATCCTAGTAGGACTTTGGCTAGTAAGATAATGATCTTCATTGTTTTTATTAACTGCAAGGATGTTAGAGAAGAAAATGTTTACAAAAATTTCAGATAAAACCAAACTGGAAGGGTTTGGAGCACTTGCAAGGTTGGGATTAGTACCCAGAATGAGCTTGAGAAGTGGACTAAAAAAGATGAAATTCAATACAGACAAGTATAAAAGAACTCCTGTGGGGTACAATCAATCTGAACTCTTCAGACAAAAGACCACCTGGATTGACTACACTTATCAAATAAAGATCTGATTATTTCGCATGAGTGTGATGCCTTTGGAAAAAAAAAAAAAAAAAAAAAAAAAAAAAAAAAAAAAGAAAGAGAAAGAAAAGAAAGGAAAAGAAAGGAAAAGGAAGAAAAAGAAAAAGGAAAAAAAATAGAAAAAAAAAGGAAATAGTATCTACAAAAAAAAAAAACTTTAAAATAGTCATAAAAGGAAAAAAAAATGGCTCATTTTTCTTCATATCCTTTGGAAGAGAAGACCAAAAAGTAGAAAAGTAGTTAATTTGCAGGAAATTAAATTTAAATTAGACATTAGGAAGTTAGGCACATGGAAAGGCAACACAGAGAGACTATAGAATCTTCTTCATGACTAGTATCAAAGATTAATTTAGTTAAACGTCATTCTGAGATGGGATATATTTAATCCTGCCACAGGGCACAGAATTGGATAAATGACTTCTTCAGGGGTCGTTCTGGCCATGAAAGAAGGTGGATGACAAGTTCAACATGCCCATGGTTGCAATGGAGGCGAACAGTGGTGGTCCAACATAGAGTGTTGGTGGCTATTTGCTTGCAAGCCATATGGTGGACAGAGGATTACAAGAACATGATGTTATAACACTTGGAGTGCATGTAAAGGCACTCTTCAGTGTGGTAGATATTGAGGGAAATCTTAATTAAAAAAAAAAAAAAGGTCTCATAAATGCAAGTTTAAGGACATAAACCACTGTGAAAGTTCTCAAACCAATAGTTATAAATCTACATTTTGTGATTTTTGTGGGAATGTTACTGTGTTTATATCCACAATAAGGCATCTTTTGTCAAAATATTTTATTACTTTTTCTGTTGTTATTATTTTTTAATGTACACAAAACCAGTCTTTCAGTAACACTGTACAGACTTATGAAGAATGCACTTCTATATCTGAATTCTTTCTCCATTTTCTTTCAAAGTAAAATCAATTTCACATCTGTGTATGAGAGACAATATGTCAGGAACAAGAGGTGCCCAGAAATAAACCTGAAAAGCCAACAGTCAGATCCCTTGGTGCAAAAGAAGCAAAGGGTGTGCATTTACCTGTGTAAAAAGAGTGTTAAATTAGAGAAACAGGAGTTTCAGAGTCAGATGAGATTGAGTTGCCCTGGAAGTTGTTTAAAATAAACATGAGAAGACCATTGGGAACTGTGAGTGTTGTGAATTAATAAAAAACACCCACCCTGCAACCTTCCTACAGACCTCCAGTGCCTCGAGAGAAATGCTGCTTCCCTTAGATCTGTCTCATCTCTGAAGCTCAGATAAATTGTTCCAGCCCTCTGCGCATTGCAACCCAAATGTCAAAGGAGGGAATCGGGGAAACTTCTGTGTCTCAGAGTCAGATCAATGTGCTTTCTCCTCTACATCACTAAACCATAGTATGTCAGCAAGGCAGACAGTAATCACAGTCAGAAGTAATGTATTCACACTAACAAATAAATGGTTTGCAGCATCTGTAATGTCTGAATAGCATGTTGCTTTGTACTCCAGTCAGGTGGCCCACACGGAAAAGAGTGATATGTGTCTCTTCCTGACAGACAGACGATTTTTATTGCTTATTGTCTTTCTGTGATTTAAAATTTATTTTCATTTAAAAGATAAAGAAGGACCTTTTCCTTTTTCCTTTTTTTTCCCACTCATTTTATGCGTCACCACAATTAGCTGTTCTCATTTTAACAGATTATTAGGGGGTCCGTCAAAAATAATCTGTGCCGGGTGGCTCTTGAATGATAATGCCTATCACTTCTGCAAAGATGTTTCTAATGAAGGTAATTTGCTTCTTTTTCAGTTGATTTCATAGGTGGATTTGACTCTTACGGCTATCAAGGCCCACAGAAGACATCTCATTTACAGCTACAGCCTATGTATATGTAAGTACTCAACTTCAGAGATGTTCTGCAGTGGCAGGCTGATATTAAAGGATCATTGAAGTGAAAGATGACATCACTTAAAAATTCAGAATAGGCAGAAGCCTTTTTGCTGAACTGAATTCAAGCTACACTTAAGCACCGGCATTATTCTTCTGCTGGTTGATAATGATTTCTTATGCAGGATACAAAGTGTCGCTGTTGTTTAAATAACACTGAGCTCTCACCTGATTTTACCTCATTTCCATTCATGCAGATTCCACTCCAAGGCAGCACAAATTTCATTTAGTAGGAACTAGTCAGCTGACAAAACTTGGATGTCAAAAGTGGACGCATTCAGTATTAGTCTCTACTAATACAGATATCTGTTCACTGAAGCATGTCTGTGCCTCATTTCCAGTCTCTACATTAAATTATAATAATAAAAGAAAAAAAATAGCAACATATTGTTTTTAAAAATAGACTGAATAGAAAGTGGTATTTTATCTATCCAGTGAGAGTGAGAATTCCATCCCACCTAGAAGTGCAGCCAAATACAGAAATCTCAGCACACAGACTCAACTGAAGTACATTCACACTGGAACTTACACACAGACATAGACCAAGCCAGAAATAATAATCTCCAAATATTTCTGGATGCTCACTGCAATTCAAAGCAGCCCTGACTGCCTAGATAAATTGTACCTTACTGCTGCAGCCTTTTGAATTCTGTTTTATTTACCATCATCAGCCAAAGTGACAAAAGTATAATAAGCAACAGCTCACGAGGGAGTTGCGTTTAGTTTTTTCCTTTGTTACTCTTTTCACCATTTCTTTTGAGGAAAAAAAAACCTAAATACAGGAAAACAGAATCTATCCCAACACACACTCCCTACACCCTTTAGTATAATTTCATTTCTTGTGATTAATGGACTAAGTCTGCTGGTGGTTTAGTAGCTTTATGCATGGAACTGGCATTTATTCCTTTATCAGCAGTGCAATCAATTCTGCGGTAGTGCTTAGGATTGGGCCCTATGGGAGCTTTGCTAGGAGCTTTTTAATAATCTCAAATTACAATAGTACGTATCTCCAATGCCATCTTAACTTCAGCTTTCCATCTGTCTGTGCTCAAGTGAAGATTTTTCACCTGCACTTTTGGCGCAGTGCTGTGCATTTAGAAAATGTTATTTCCTTCCTAGTATTATGTGTGGCTCATAGGTGCTTAGAACAATTCTAATCCTATTTCTTTCTCAGTATACCATAGCTTGCATCAACATATGGAGCCCTCTAGCTGAGATATTATCCCGTTCTCTTTATGTTCTCAGTGTTTCTTCCAGAACAGCAGATTACATTTAGTAGCATCTTCATACTGACAGAAAAGAAAAGTAGATCCTCTGAAAAAAAAAGAAGGTGATATTTTTACATTTTTAGCTGAGATAGAGATGTATGATGAATCCATGTAAACTGTGTTCTGCCTTATTTCAATCTGCATTCTTGGTGTAGCATAGGTGATTTTGGTGTCTTAACTGGGAGACAGAAAGCAGTATGTAAGTTGACATTTTGTCCAATCAACCCACAAAAGTATTGCCATGTCCCAGCAGCAGTCAAACAAAGACACTTCATGTTTCCCTCTGACTATATAGTATTTGACAAGGTCCTCTAGAATTGCTGCAGCCTGTTCTTAAGAAGCTTTTACAGCATTTAGGAATACCTTTTTGTTGTTTACAACTGAGGCATGCTAGGAGTGCATGCATATGTATTTGCACTGCAGTTGCTCCATAAATGTAGGCAGGCCATTAGGCAGTTGAATGACAAATTTGAATGTCAAATTAATCAAGCCGTCGTTTGATCTGCTTGTAGCACTATTTACAGCAATAATATATACTGGAAGTCAAAACAAGCTGATATGATAACAGCAGGCTATAGAAAATGTTTTAAAGCATTATTTGTTGGAAGGAAGAATTGGGTTCCTTAGGGATTCTTATGGATGTTGACCACCAAAGAATATTAGCATTAATCTCTGTAGTATTCAAGAAGAAAAAAATGTAGAAGACCTTACTCTCTAAGTGAAGTCACCTGCACCTTACAGTATTCAGCATTCCTTGGGAATGAGTAAGATCAGAATCATTTGACATAGAAAAGCAGAGGACAGAATAGGAAAGACCTCTGCTTTATGTATGCTGCTGCTGTACTCTCATGAAGTCATGAGAATATAATCATATCCATTCAGGATACAACTATTCCCATATATATATATCCATAGAGCTATGTCCATGTAACAATTTCCATGATTTTATCAGCTGCTAGAAAAGATTGTTGAATCCATAGACAGCAGAGAATATATTAAACTTTATCTCAATTCCTGCGAGAAACCAAGAAAATGTAAAGGCAACTTGTTGTCTCCTTTATGTGCTTTACTATCCAGGCTCACAGTGAGTGCAACTAGTGAAGAGAAATCAGAGATAGATGGTTTATTTTACATATTCTGGCTACTGTCAAAAGCACAATAACACTTCTTTTTTTTTTTTAATTGGTGGTATAGTAGTACATATTGGCCAGCATATCAGGCATGCAATAGAAATGAAAGAGAAAAAATGATCTTAGCTTTGCAGGACTCACCAGAAGAATATCAGCTTGTAATGATGATGAGGTTCTGACAAATTTTGCAAATTTTGCAAAACAAATGCAAATTTTAACATGTATTTCAATAATAAGTGTAAAGACATCCCTCATTACTTACTAAATCATTTCATATGCAGAAACAATACAAAGGTGTTTATAATTGTGTGGTAGCTGTCAGTTGTTATCCTCATACTGCTTGCAGACATGAATTGATTTAGCAGATTATGATGACAGAATTCCATCAACACAAACTTTTGTCTCAATTCAAGCCAGACTGATTTACATCCAAGTGATTTAAATCAATCTGAAGTGTTTTACACATGCACAGTTTAATTATTATCCTGAAGGAATGCTGTGTTTAGTAATTGCTAACTGTTAAGACACACTGTTTTGCAACCAGAACTTTCTCCTGTTGTGCTGCAGTTAGCACTTCATTTTGTTAATTTGGAGCTTATACTGAACTTACACAAATCTACATGTGCAAGTAAATAGTTATAATGATTTATTCAGACTCTTCATTTTAACATTTCCGTTCTGTCAGTAGTTATTTAATTAAAGAATTAATACTTCTGTGATTTCAGTCGAGCTCTCCCAAAAAGAGCATTATAACTCAGTTTACGCGTGCACACTACGTTCATATAGAGTTTCATCAGTTATGCAAAAAAAAATCTTGATTTACGAAAAGGAAGCGTTGATAGTGAATTGAGGTGACTGTCTATGACTACTAATTCCATAAATTGCCTACTATTAGATTCAGACTCACCTTGTCTCTTTTCTCTACATTTTAGGCTTTGAGTTCCAATCGAAACTTTCCATGTCAAGTCTTGCAATTTCACCTTTAATTTAAATCAGTGTTGTTTTATTTAAAGAAAAAATCAATTTATACTGTTTTAAATAAAATAATGGTGCTTTGGGGGAGGATTCTAATTGTGACTATTATCTACCTGTTATAAATGGCTTTTTCATTATTTAAGTGCCAACAGTGTGCTCTATGCTGTGCAAGCCAAGAAGCCTATGCAGTCCCTCCAAAACGAATATGCATTTTAACGGGACAGAACCACTGCTCATGTATCTCCATGCAGTGTGGCCACAGCTGATGTCCTAAAAAAACAGCTTCCCAGCATTCTGAGCTGGAGATGCCGGTGCTCATCTCCAGACAATGGGACGAGAACACAATAAGATGATGGAAATCAATTGTCAAGAGAGAATTCTGCTCTTGGGAGGTGACCACGGATGGTGACTAAACACTGTATGCACTGATTCTGCTGTACATGAAAAAAATACAGTTATGATTGTGGAACAAGACTGCACTGCATGACCACAGTAGGAAGGAGGAACAGGAAAGAATTTTTTCTTTCCTTTCTTCATGATAAACTTGCTTGTTCATGAAAAGAAGAAGTGAAGCAAAAAAAAAAAAAACATGCATGTCTGATGCTGATTCCTAATGCACTGGAGAAATTGCTCAAAAGCAGCTTAGCCCTAAAGTGAAACTTGCTTTCCTTGTACTGAGAAGTCTGTCCTATGTATATATACATATGTATATACATATATATACGCATACATGTGTACTATATATACATAGAAACACATAATTATGCACATACAAACCCTACATATATGCGTGTATACACACACACACACACCAGGGCTGCTCTGAAATCAATGCATCCTATTTTATTATGTTGACTGTCAGCCTCAGAGTCAGATGTTGGTGTTAGGGCAATAGAAGGTGAACCTTTCCAACAGTACTATCAGCAAAGCCTTGTGTAGCAACCAACAGTATCTCTTCTGCCTCAGATTGTGAAAGCTTGGGTTTAAACACAGTGGTTGAGGTTGACACTGGCTTTCTGAGTATAACTAATTACTCCTGCTTGAAGTATGATTTTGAATGGTTTACTAACCCTGTGCTGACTTCTCTGAATGTACTCCAAAGGAAACCAAGTGATCACCTGAGCAAACACCTTTTCCTTTCTGTCCTCTCCTACTTGTGCACAGCCGAGCTGTTACTGGTTAGTGGTTTACACTGGCTTGCAAAAGGGCACCAGAGCTGCAGGGCAGTAATCAGGAATGTTTCTGGTGATTTATATGTATCTTTGTTTCCCTATCTTTCTCCTAGGTCAAAGTGAAAACGGGGACTGCTCAAGGTGGGCTGGAGCACCTGTCAAAGAAAATGTTTTGGGATTGCCCTCTGGTTCTTCAAAGAGCAAAAAAAAAATCCAGTTTTTGTGCTAAAAAAACAAACAAACAAACAAAAAAGGCTGATTGAACAATGAGACAAAATACAACAGACACATTCAGCCTCTCTTTCTAACAGGTACTAAGGGAGATGCCCCAGACCTCCTTCCTGCTTCCCAGCACCACAGGGCCAGAGCAGAGGCGCTGGTGCTTCCCTCTGGCTCCTCTGGACTGCAGCCTCGACCGCCAGTGGGGCCCATCTGGATTAAGACACGAACCAAGCCAATACAGTGCTTTTGGAGCCCCCTCCACACTCCTGGCCTCATTCAGTCTCTGTAGTCAACACAAGGCTAAGAATACTGGGATGACCTTGCAACAGAAGTCAATAGACAGCACGTTGTTTGCCCTGAAGGCTGTACAGTTCATACTTGCCTTAACCTAACTGCATTGCACATCAGAGAAACTCAGTGCAAGCTTTCTGAAGTAACGTCCTTTAGGCTCAACACGCTGTCATTAATTCTGAACGATTTCTAAGTCAGTAGTTTTCTTTGTTTTTTTTTTGTTTTCTTGTCAGGGAATAAGGCTCTGTTGCTCCGTGGCTCCAGAGTGACCTAGTAGAAAACTGCCAGCTATCAGAAAGTGCTTTACTTTTGAGGCTCCACAGTGGTCAAGAAACAAACCGTTTATAATGATTAAAAAAAAAAAAGAAAAAAAAAAAAGAAATAAGATCTTTTGGGGGGTCAGGGAGGGGGAAGGGGTAACATAGACTAATGATTGAACCTACTGGAAATAAGCAACATAAACAGTGCTTCTTAATCCCGCTGTTTTTGTTTATCGCACTTTAGGTGCTTTTATAGCTATCTCTAAATGTCTTTTACTAACTACAGAGACATCTGCAGATTTCTATCAACAAAGGCCAACTGAATATATACTAGCTATGTTTACTCTTTTATATCTAATTTCAAATGAAAATTCTCTGTAAGTGAGCTTTTTTTTCTAATTGCACCCTAAGGGATCTATATATTTTATTTTTTGGTTTCGGTTGGGGAGGGCGGGAAGGGACTAGCTGAGTTGAAGAAATATTGAAGACCTTTTTGTGGTATATTTGGGGGATCTGTTGTGTGTTAGAATGTGTATTTTATCTTCCTGTATTATTGTGGCTGAAAAAAACTGTGCTGTTACGTAGTTGGCAACAAGATGCCTTTGGGAATTTTGCTAGTAGGTCAATGTGTATATGAAATACTCTGAACTCCTAGGAACATATGTTTTGTTCTAAATCTGATCTGTATTTTCAAGCACTTAGGTGGCTTTCATTAGGAGAAACCAATGTTTTACTCAGGCTTTTCAGGATCTTGAATTATCACTGTTTCTTTGCTCAGACCCTGCACAGGCAAGTTCACACGTCTACACACCTGTGGTGGCCACATAAGTTTTGAGGGCAAGGGGGAAGGTCAGTGCGTGGAAGCGCTCAAGCTGCCCTCAAATGACTGACTTTTCCTCATTTGCCAAACCCTGGTGCCCACGTGGCTTCTGAGCTCCCACAGCCCATGCACAAACTCAACGCATCCATCCCTATACAAACCAATGCCCTTTGCGTGTCTGCATGGATGTAAAGTGTCACAAACCACCACTCTGGACAATGACAGAGGAACAGACCAGTGAAGATAAGATACAGGACACGTTCAGGAACTATACTTACATTTATCCAGTGAGATATATATATATATTTATGTACGTGTGTGTGTGTGTGTATGAATATATAATACACAGGAATAACTATCGAGAGGGGCTGCATAATCCTGGGAGTGTCTGGTGCATGGGGCCAGAACTTCAGGTCCTGTTCATTATTTCCTGCATGAATTAGGCAAGTCACTTAAGCCTGATCCAGTAGAACATTCAATGCTGTTTTGGATCTCAAGTTCAATTTTTCAGACTTGGGTACCTGAAATTCTGATCTCATTCTGGGGTGGAGCTGCTTTCCAGTCCCTGGGAAATCATGCAATTTCCAATTGCCAAGCTGAAATTTCCCATAAGCTGAAAATTTTTGAAAGTTTTATGTAATATTTAATGTAGCAGATGTATAATATTAAACACAATGTAGAGGTTTAAATGGAATGAAAATGTCATAACAGGGTATTTTAGCTTTCCCTGTATAGCAGTTAATCAAAATCATGTTTCTATAAAAATCATTTTCTTAATATGGAAAGAAACCAGTTTAGGCACTTAACTGATGATCCAATTTTGAGCAGATAATTTTTCATACCTTTCAGTGATTTCCCACAGAATGGCAACTACAGGTAGTTAGCAATTTTAAAAGTCAGAAAATTTAATGAAGCATCTACAAATAGTTTGTGGGCCTAATTTTAATTTTTTTTTAAAAAGGCCTTAATTTCTCTGTCTTAGTCTTCCCATCTATACAAAGGGAATAATATCTGCCTCACATATTTGTGTGAGGTTTGAACTGTTTATGTTTGTAAAGTGCTTAGGAAATAGGAAAAACATTTAATGATTAAGTATTACAGTGGTAACTGCTTATTCATATATTACATATAGAGTAGATATACACACACTCACACATGGATTACACATATATATATATACATATATGCCTATATGAAGTTGATATTCATAACCTTGCTTAAGTTGCAGTTAGAACACCACCATTAAAAGGAAATTAGGACTGTTGACTACTAAACTAAATGATTAGTGGACAGATCTCTTCTGGAAGCAGTTTAGAGCACAGTAAAGTGAGAATATCTGGATAACAATTTTGATTTGTACAGCTGTATCCTCCTCAAAATCCAGTAAAGAATGTTATTTTTCTAGGCTGGGCTTTTGTTATAAACTTAAATATTCAGAACGCAAGAGATACAATCCAAATGTGTCTTTTTTTTTCTTTTCTTTTTGGCATTTGTTAATTCTGAATGTATTTTTAACAAAAGTGATTTTTTTGACTTACTAGTGTAATTTGCATTTAAAACAATAAATGGAAAAAATATAGGTTTCCAAGCTATTCATGGCCCCTTGCTGCTATTCACAACTTACAGGAAACTTAGAATTACAGTTGCCAGCTGAGCAACAATGCAGGATAAAGAATCCTGTTACATTTACATGATGACAATCCTGATCTGTGCAGTGCATGGATGTGACAGCGCTGAATAGAAATTGCCGGGTCATGACACCATTTTAATGCAGCCATAGGTAGCAAGAATTTTCATTATCACTGACACTAAAAGGTTTCTTTTACAAGACTGACTGCAATAGACTCTTCCCTTAGAAAGCATCTTTTTTTTTTGCCCACTCATTGTGAATTTTAAGCATATAGTAGGTTTACAGTTGCCAACAGTGTTAAATACAGCAGAAGTAATACTTGGTAAGAGGGAGCTATGTAACATTAATATTTCCATTGCATATATGATATTCCTTGTCTCTATACTGCAATGAAGAAATCCTGTCTTAGGTAATGTCTTTACAGAGCTCTTGTATATTGACAGCTTGCCTAAGGGGCTTTAATGAGGGACCATATACATTTCAAGATATCTGATTGTGTTCTCTTCATACTATTCCTTAGTTCATTAATTGTTGCCTGTAGGATTTTTTTATGCTGTAATTCTAGTGAAAGTGGTACTTTTCAGCCAGGTAAAGAGAAAATGCTTGTGCTCCACTTGCTCAATTTAAGTACTGTTCGCAATGCTCAGGAGCCATACAGCATTTTGAAACAGGCTGGTGCAATATGTATTGATTCCCAAATGTCTCCAGATAGGAATGGCTGCTAACTCAGTCTCAGAAGGTTTTTTAGCCATTTGCACTCTCACCTTCCATTTGAATACACTGATAGCAGGCAAAACAAAACTACATACAGCACTAGTCCTTTCAGCATTTAATACTTTTATTTTCAGTTCTCTGTTTTCTTTTGAATGCAATTATTGAGAGGTTGTCTCTCAGTAAATCTCATCTAAATCCGAATCTGAATTTCCAACCAAAGGCAGAAAGCCGCACAAATAGGCTACATATGTTTCTTTTTTTCATTTTCTTTCTTTCTTTTACTTTCTTATTTGCTCCAAGAAGTCTCTTCAACTTACCTGAGATCAAACAGGTAAACTTTATGAGTTTTTTTTCCAGCTAATGTAAATCTGGCTTCTTTATAGTGCATGTGGATTGGAGACAACCACTAAAGGTGAATGAGATTTTGTTAAAGAACCAATACATATGAGTATTGCAGAAGGTATTGTGTTCACTGTTCCTTTGGGAACGATGCGGATCAGTTGTCATGCTAATCAATCCGCTCCAAGCTAAGTGCAATAATAAATGTAATTACTGTATATAAAAGAAACTGCCCTTCAAACTATGGTTGCTCATTCTCATAAAGAAGTAGCACAACACCAAATGAGTGAATGAAAACCGTTTCCTTCTCTTATTGTCTATCAAACTTCATCCCCCCATGGATCACAGAAATTGTCTCTGGTCTTGCATCCTGACAGGTGCCTCTGTTGAGTCCTTGACAAGGAGAAACAACTGTGGTCAGCTGGATCTGTAACCTTCTCTCCTGATGGGAGAGGAGGAAGGACACTGTACCAAATACTGTACTTTAAGTAGTGTCATGCATGCATTGTTATCCATCTTCCTCCACACGTACAAAAGAGGTCTCTCAAAATGCTCTGTTCTTTCATCTCAGAAACTGGGACAGATAGTCTTTTACAAGGTGCTTCCAAATTCTGTTGACATCAGTAAAGAGTTTTTTCTTTAAGTATAATTAAAGCACATTTTTTTCTGTTTTCTCTTGAGTAGAAGACAGCTCTCAAAACTTCCAGAAGCCTTGGGATTAAATATTTTGAGCAGACTGTGAAACTTGAAAATTCAAAAAATTGCTTGAGACCATCTCTGTCTCAAAATGATATCACGAAGACAAAGGCAAGACTTTATACATTCACTAGTTAAAAAGCATTTTCACTATCATCTCTTACCTATCTACTTCCCCAGCATTGTCTTCATCCTGCTGGCAAATAAGTCATATGGAGCTAAACATGGAAAAGTATTAATTTATACTCTTCAACAGTCTGCTGTATTCCCATGCATTCCAGAGTCACCCTTACCTGATAATAGTCCTCTCTTTTTTTTCCTGTCACCATCTTCCTGACCCTTTCTTACTCCTGTTCTGCCGGAATACATCTACAAATCTCCTACTTAAAATACATACTGCTCTTTGTCATATCCATTGTTTCAAACTCTCCTTATGATGACAGTGATTGCAATAATGGAAGATGATGTCATTGAGGTTATGTACAAAACTGGAAGAACGAGAAGCTTAAAGGTTACATATGTCCTCCGAAGGCCCAAGATACAGTGAGACACTTTATACAGCTATAAAGGTTGACAGTGTTACAGATACCATGAGATTCAACTGGCCTTAGTAAGAATCATTTTCAAATGTGCAATTGCATTTGCTAAAACTGTAGTTCAGTTGATACAGAGAGTTATAAATACCTAGTGTTACACAAGATACAGGTGAAATAGAAACAGATTCATAGAAAATGTGTTTATAAACACTTTGACCAAATCAGACTTGAATTTCAATCTCTTTGAATTTGTCTCAGATTTTTTTCCTGTTGCAAATATTTGGATGGTTGATTTCTGTGCATGCAGGTGTTCAGAAATGAACTCCTTGTTCCTAGGGGGACGTATAAATGTGTGCAGTTACACTGATTTACGTGAGATTTTCAGTATTCATGCATCTATATGCATTTGCATTGTGTT